GTGTACTGTTCTGTTTTGCAAATGTTATGCAACTTAGGAAAAATTCCAAAACCAAAAGGAAGCACCGGGAAACAGTTCAGTTAAAGGCATAGGTGTACTCGGTGGAGCAGCCTGTGGACACAGCTGGTAGCTATTACTTACTTGTGATTATTACAAGAAAATCTGGTACTTTCTGTGATCATACACAAATCTGTCATCGTCATGTCCTACTTCATCTTTTTATCCAGTGTTGAAGGGAAAGGAAAGGCTGCTTGGAAAGAGGACTAAAAGGAAAACAAACCATGATTATTGGAGGTGATCAGCTTCAGCTTTTTTAAAGGAAACTCCCATTTTCACCTTTCCAGAGGGCTCTATGGCAAATTGTTTATTCAGCTTCAGGACTCATCTGAAGTTTAGATTAAGAATTAGCGGAGAAGTAAGAATGGCATTGAAGTGTATCTTGAACCTGTCTGCTTAATCCCTGCTCCCCACTAAATCATCTTTCGTCTCTCTCAGTCTGATCCACTTTTGAGAAAGAGGATCCATTAGGGCATCCCCTGGAGAGACCCTCCTCTCTTGTCCTCTTGGCTCTGCTTGGAGACTCTTGAGAAGCCGGCCCACTGCACAAAGTTTCTCCTCCTTCTCTGGGACTTTTCTGGCAGATCTAGCTGGCCTGAGACAACCCCTTTCCCAGGCTGTATGTCTTGCCTTGAACTGTCAAGGGGCCTTTGTGAAATGTGAGATAGTATTTTGAAAGAGGTAGATTTGGCAACAGACACACCGGGTTCCAGTCCAGCTGCAGGACTAAGGGCTCCATCCTGGCTGTAATAACCCCCCTCGGTTATGACAACGAACTAGTCAAGGGAAAATGAGATTTAAAGGGCCCCTTTACCCCATCTGATGGCAGATCCTCTGTGTGCTGCTCAGAGAGCCTGACGGGCAGCTAACCAGAAAGCAGCTCATAGTTGTCTTTGGCTGGGTTGTCTCTAGCTCATCATCCCTTTTCCTCTGGCAGCCATCTGTGAGATTCCTTTTCTTTCTGCAGAGACTTTCTGGGAGCTTGGCAACTGGACTCACTGTTCTGCCATGTGCGGCCACTTGGGAGCCCAAGGTCAGAGACCCCAGTGCCTGATGGCCAATGGGAGGAAGTGAGCGAGGCCTTCTGTGACCAGCTCCAGGAGCCACGGGACATCCTGTAACCACAGGGAGCCACAGGGACAGCGCCGTAACATCCGGGGCTGCCCCCCGAGGTGTGTGCAGTCACTCTTCTCTCCTTGCTACCAGGGTTTGACTTGTTTTAAATGCACAGTAATTCGGACTGAGTGACTCAACCACTAAGGTTTGTTTTATGTGGACTGTACTTGGTGCTCAGCTAAGTAGTCTATGTGGATCACTTCACAGTCATCTATCAAGTCAATATTGTTCTTTTTCTTTTATAAAAAACTTATTTCTTTTTTTTTTTTTTCGGTTATGCTACACCACGTAACCAACCAGGGATTGAACCCAAGTCCCCTGCACTGGAAGCTCAGAGTCTTAATCACTGGACCTCCAGGTATGTCTCCAGTGTTGTTTATTCTCTATTATACAGTTGGAAAAACTCCCCTAGGCCACACAGGTAAGAGGGCCAGAATTCAAATCGGGTTAGTCCAATTTCAGAGCTTCTGCTCTTAACTGCCACTCTCACCTGCTCCCTGCACTCACAAATGGACCTTAAGAGCATAGGAAAGCTGACTTCATGGGTTCACCTCAGAGATATGGCAGAAGGGCAGCATCACAAGAGGCACACATGAGAAGCACCATTCCTTAGACTCTACCCCCACGGGTGTTATCCAGTCGCCTGTCGTGTCTGACTCTTTGTGATCCCATAGACTGTAACATGCCAGGCCTCCCTGCCCCTCACCATCTCTTGGAGTTTGCCCAAGTTCATGTTCATTGCATTGGTGATGCCGTCTAGCCATCTCATCCTCTAATGCCCTCTTCTCCTTCTGCCCTATGTCTTTCCCAGCATCAGGGACTTTTCCAATGAGGCATCTGTTCTCATCAGGTGACCAAAATGCTGGAGCTTCAGCTTCAGCATTCGTCCCTCCAGTGAATATTCAGGTTGATCTCCCTTAAGATTGACTGGTTTGCTATCCTTGCTGTCCAAAGGACTTTCATGAGTCTTCTCCAGCACCACAGTTCAAAGGCATCACTTATTTGGTGTTCTGCCTTCTTTGTGGTCCAGCTCTCACAATTACACATGCCCACTGGAAAGACCACAGTCTTGACTATACAGACCTTTGTTGGCAGAGTAATAATGTCTCTGCTTTTCAACACACTGTCGAGGTTACTCATTGTTTTCCTGGCAAGAAGCAGTCCTCTTCTGATTTCATGGCTACAGTCACCATCCACAGTGATTTTGGAGCCCAAGAAGAGGAAATCTGTCACTACTTCCACGTTTTCCCCTTCTATTTTCCATGCAGCAATGTAGCCAGATGCCATGAATTTAGTTTTTTTTTTTACTATGTAGTCTTAAGCTGGCTCTTTCACTCTGCTCCTTCACCCTCAAGAGGCTCTTTAGTTTCTCTTTACTTTCTGTCATTAAGAGTGGTATCATCTGCATCCCCAGGGGTAAAGCCATTAATAACCTTTCAATATCATAGATGACACAAATCAATACTTTAAAAAGTATACAAAATCAAACTCATAATCTCCACCAAATCTGATCTGCCCCTAGTTAGTGTTCCAGATCACAAGGACTACATCCTAAGCTACCCACCTCTCTTTCCTCTCACTTCCATCCATTCCTGTCAGTTTCCCACTGTTCCCAATGTCTTTGTCATTCCTCGTTCAGGCCACATCAGAAGCCTCCTGAGTTTTGTCTCCTCTCTAGAGTGCCTTGTCCACTCTATAAGCAGAAACATCTTTTACTTATTTTTATTGGAGGATAGTTGCTTTACGATGTGTTTCTACTGTAGAGCAAAGCTAGTCAGTCACATGTATACACACATCCCTTCTTTTCTGGATTTCCTTCCCGTTTAGGTCACCACAGCATGCTGAGTAGAGTTCCCTGTGCGATACAGTAGCTTTCATTAGTTATCTGTTTTATCCACAGTAGTGTATATGTCAGTCCCAGTCTCCCAGTTCATCTTCCCAGATGGCGCAAGTGGTGAAGAATCTGCTTGCCAATGCAGGAGCTGCAGGAGACAGGTTCGATCCCTGGCTTGGGAAGATCCTCTGGGGGAGGAGATAGCAACCCACTCCAGTATTCTTGCTTGGGAAATCCCATGGACAGAGGAGCCTGGTGGGCTACAGCCCATGGGGTTGCAAGAATCAGACACGTCTGAGTGACCAAACAACACCAACAAGGAGCACCCAGGTGCCTCCTCCTTTTTTCTTCCCTTTGGTTTCAATGAGTTGAAATTCACCTTTCCAAAATTTCCACCTGATTTTTCCCTATCTCTGCTCTCTGAGGCCACACAGCTGATGGCTCTTACCTCCCTGAGGACGGCTTTATCCCACCCTGATGCTATTGTGTCTGCACGGTGATTCTGTTGCTTCTGAGTGGAAGGAGATCTGAGAGTATGGCTGGAGTTACTGTGCTGCTGCCCACTCGCAGAGACATGTGTCGGCCCTGAAGCAGTCATACTGCTGGGATAGGCTTTCTCTCTGGAAGGCAGTCCCCATAGGGACCGTCCTACTAAGCTCCTGTAGTTTTTGTTCTTAGGTGGCTCACAGGCACGTGGGCAGAGTGCTCTGTGTCTTGTGGTGAAGGATTCCGCAGTTGGCAAGTGACATATAAGCACACAAGAGCCAATGGAATGGTGCAGGCGTTGCTGCTGAGTGCATCCCCTGAGACAGGCCTCTGGGGAGAAGACCCTGTTCCAGGCACCCCTGTGTTCAGAGGCTCGTTGAACAAGGGAACCAGGTAATGCTGACAAATGTAGTGTTTTAAAATCATCCAGGCCCTGTGGTCAAACCCAGACATCCAAAAAGGGACTTCCCCTGGCATTCCAGTGTTAGGAATTTGCCTTCCAATGCAAGGGATGTGGGTTCCATCCTTGGTCGGGGAACTAAGATCCCACATGCCATGAGGCCAAGACATAAAACAAGCAATGTTGTAACAAAACCTCACCCATCAGGGCCCCTCCCCACAGCGGAGAGGAGAGCACTGACTCCTGCAGGACATTCAGGAAACTCATCTGCACAGGTAGCTGACCACACCACACACCGGCTGGTTCAGGGGACTTACTCGCCTATCCTAGACCTCCTGGTCATCATTAACACAGGCTGCCAAGATCAAAAGTTCCCCTCAGCCCTTCTGAAAATGTTCAGTATTGTCAGTGTGGGAGAATAATACACTCTTTCTGCATTTCTGCCCTGCAGTGCAGCAGCTGTTGTTACTCCTGAGGATCATTGTACTAATTCTTAGGTCATTAACTCCGAGTCCTACATGACTACACACTTCTCTAACTGGAGAGGATGCAAAACAGCTGGAGATACATCTTTCTGGAGAAATAAAGTTTATGAAAACTATGTAGAACCAAGGAGTTGGCAAGAACATGGAGGGGGGAGTGTGGGGGTAGGGGGACGTCCCCTGGATGGAGAGTCCAGCCTGTGAAGCTTCACCCAGTGGCGGAGGAGGGGCAGCTGGGTCAGGGTGACGCCTCTTCAGGTCTCCCAGGCCACTCCAGACCATCCTCTGAGCAGGCCAGGGCTCCTGAAGGCCGTGGAGGTGCTGGATTTGAATCCCATAGTCCAGTTGACTGTGTGCCAGGGAGCTCGGTAGGGCTCCTTTTGTCTTGGTCAGTCATCCATGGGTTGTTCTGGGCCTGATTTATTTGTGTGGTATTGCTGGGCAGTCCACAGCAACAATGTTTTCTTATAAACCTCCATATTCTCCCAGCCACGCCCCTCTTTTTCCTTCTGAGGCCAGAGGGAGTGGCTGGGGAGTGGGACTGCCCAGCTTGGTAGGAGCTTCCGGCAGTGTTGCCCACACTGAAGGGGCAGTGGGTTCCCTCTGAGGCTTTGCTGCTGATGTCATGGGTACCGTGGGTGTCCTGGGTGCCACTCTTGTCCCGGGTGCTGCTGGAGTCTCGGGTGCTACTGATGTCACAGGTACCGTGGGTGTCCCGGGTGCCGCTGGTGTCTTGGGTGTCAGAGGTGCTGCTGCTGTCTTGGGTGCCATTCTTCCCGTGGGTGCCGCTTGTGTCTCAGGTGCCATTGGTGTCCCGGGTGCCGCTCCTGTCCCAGGTGCTGCTGGTGTCTCGTGTGCTGCTCTTGCCACGAGTGTCACAGGTGCCACTGGTATCTCGGGTGCTGCTCATGTCCTGGGTGCTGGTGTCTCGGGTGCTGCTCTTGCCATGGTTGCCGCTCTTCCCGCGAGTGTCACGGGTGCCGCTGGTGTCACGGGTACCGCTGGTGTTCTACACTGTCACCTCCGAGTCCTCTTCACAGAGTGGCAGGAGTGGCTCCTTCTCATCCATCTTGACCCATGGATGCTGCTGAAGAGGGGCTAAAACAGCTCTGGTTGTCGGGTCGAGGGTCAGCATGCTTGCTATTAATGTTCCCACTTCACAGGATAGGTCGTTGGGCACATGATAATGCCCTGTGAGCACACTCTGCTTCATCTCCCAGTAATCTCATCCTTGGAAGGGTTCGAACCCAGTCACCATGATGTACAGGACGAAGCCAAAGCTCCACACATCCATGGGTGGGCCTAGGTACATGCACCCCTGGAAGATCTCAGGGGCTGCAAAGGCAGGGTTGTCACACAATGTATGTAGCCTCTCTTCAGGGCGGTAATAGTAGCTCAGACCAAAGTCTGCAGTCTTCACATTGTGGTCTGCATCAAGGAGCAAGTTGCTTGGTTTCAGGTCCTGGTGCACGATGCCCTGCTCGTGGCAGTGGTTCAGGGCCAAAAGGAGCTGCCGGAAGAGGCGTTGGGCCTCCTGCTCCGTCATGTGGCCCTGGTCATCCAGGTAGGTTTGCATGTCTCCCCCGCTCACGTATTCCATTACTGTGATAGTAGATGTCTCAGGTGCCGCTGGTGTCCCAGGTGCCACTCTTGCCTTGGGTGTCACGGGTGCTGCTGGAGTCTCGGGTGCTGCTCTTGTCCTGGGTGCCGCAGGTGTCTCATGTGATGCTCTTGTCCCGAGTGATGCTGGTGTTCAGGTGCCGCTCTTACCATGGGTGCTGCTCTTGCCTTGGCTGTCATGGGTGCCACCAGTGTCTTGGGTGCTACTCTTGCCGCGAGTATCATGGGTGCCGCTGGTGTCTTGGGTGCAGCTCTTGTTCCGGGTGCTGCTTGCATGTCTTCCCCGCTCATGTATTCCATGAACGTAATGGTAGAATCTTCCATGTTAATGACACTGAAGACTTTCACTATATTTTTATGGTCTAACAGCTTCATATTTTCCTTCTCACACAAGAATCCTAGGACATAGTTCTAGGCTCTTGCCGTGGGTATCATGAGTGCCGCTGGTGTCTCGGGTGCTGCTACTGTCTCAGGTGCTGCTCTTGTCCTGGGTGCCACTGGTGTCTCAGGTGCTGCTCTTGCCATGGGTGCCGCTCTTGCCATGGGTGCCACTCTTGCTGCGGGTGCCGCTCTTGCCGCGGGTGTCACGGGTGCTCCTGGTGTCTCAGGTGCTAGTCTTGCTGCAAGTGTCATGGGTGCCGCTGGTGTCCCATGTGCTGCTGGTATCCCGGGTGCCGCACTTGTCCCAGGTGCCACTGGTGTCTCGGGTGTGGCTCTTGTCCCTGTTGCCACTTGCATGTCTCTCCCGCTCATGTATTCAATGACCGTGATGGTAGAATCTTCCGTGTCAGTGACATCGAGGACTTTCACTGTATTTTTATGGTCTAACAGTTTCATATTTTCCCTCTCACTCAAGGAGTAGTCCTAGGCTCTTGCCATGGGTATCATGAGTGCCGCTGGTATCTTGGGTGCTGGTCTTTCCACAAGTGTCTTGGGTGCTGCTCTCGTCCCGGGTGCTGCTGGTGTCTCGGGTGCTGCTCTTGCCACGAGTGTCACAAGTGCTCCTGGTGTCTTGGGTGCTGCTCTTGCCACGAGTGTCTTGGGTGCCACTGTTGTCTCGGGTACCGTGCGTGTCACGGGTGCTTTTGGTGTTTTGGGTGCTGTTCTTCCCGAGAGTGTCACGGGTGCTGCTGGTGTTCTGGACTGTCACCTCCAAGCCATCTTCTGACTGGCTGGAGTGGCTTCTTCTCATCCATCTTGACCCATAGATGTTGCCGAACATGGGGTAAAGGAGCTCTGGTTGTTGGGTCGAGGGTCAGCATGCTTGCTATTAACGTTGCATGCTTGCTATTAACGATGATTGCTAGACCATCGGGCACATGATAATGCCCTGTGAACACACTCTGCTTCATCTCCTGGTAGTCTCGTCTTTGGAAGGGTTCAAACCCAGTCACTATGATGTACAGGATAACACCAAGGCTTCACACATACACAGGCAGGCCTAAGTACATCAACTCCAGGAAGATCTCAGGGGCTGCGAAGGCAGGGGTGCTGCAGAATGTACCTAACTTCTCTCCAGGGCAGTAATCATAGTTGAGACTGAAGTCTGCAGTCTTCACATTGTGGTCCACATCAAGGAACAAGTTGCTTGGTTTCAGGTCCCAGTGCACGATGCCCCGCTCGTGGCAGTGGTTCAGGGCTGATAGGAGCTGCCGTAAAAGGCGTTGGGCCTCCTGCTCCGTCATGTGGCCCTGGTCATCCAGGTAGGCTTGCATGTCTCCCCCGCTCACGTATTCCATCACCGTGATGGTAGAGTCTTCCGTGTCAATAACATCGAGGACTTTCACTATGTTTTCATGGTCTAACAGCTGCATATGTCTCCTTTCACACAAGAACCCTAGGACGAGTGGAATTTCAGTTTGCTTTTATTACCTTAAGGGCCACCTCGGTCCCGGCCCCAACATGCCGGGTCAACAGAACTGTATCATGCCATACTTCTCCAATAGTGTGGACAATTTCATAATTCTCTATTTGAGCTCATTTATTTGAACACCTGGCCATTAGGTCCTGCATGGTGGTAAACCCTAACTACTGTACCAGTTAACTGCTCTACCAGCTAACTACTCTATGCCAACTAAAGAAACAAATGCTATCTATGCCAACTAAACTAACGAATGCTAACTATGACAACTATACTAGCAACAAAACTATGCCAACTATACTAACGCTAACTATGCCAACTCTACTAACATTGCTAACTATGTCACATACACTAACAGTGCTAACTATGCTAATACTACCTATACTAACTATGCTAATAAACAATTAACTATACCAAATATGCTCACTGTACCAATGATACTAACTATACTAATACAAACAGCACTAACTAAAAAAATAAAAAGATAAAATGTGAACAAGAATTAAGGGGGGGAAATGGGGAAAAGCAAAATAAGAAAATGATATAAAGAAAAACTCTACAAATGAGAAAAACTGAAAAAAAAAAGGAAAAAAGAAGTAGAACTAAGGGGGGGAAACAAAAACAAAAAAGGGAAAAAACAAAATGAAGGAAAAAAGAAAAAGAAAGAAACTTTAAATGAGAAACACTAAAATTAAAAAATGAGGAAAAGAACTAAGGGGGAAAAAACAGAAAATGATGGAAAAAGCAAAATGAAAGAAAAAAGGAAATTTTTTTTAATTAAGAAAAGGAAAAGAAAAATGAGAAAAATAAAAAAGAGGAGAGGGGAAAAAAAGGAAAAATAAAATCAACAGAATGGCAAAAACACAGGAAAAAAAAACACGCTAACTGTAGGTCCAGTTGTCAGGTCACCAGTATCAGCTTCCTGGGCTCTAAGGACCAAAAACCTGGGGCCAGCTGGGCTCTTGTATAAGGTTTTTAGTGAGTTTCATCACAGTTGTGCCCTGTGAGGACAGAGCAGGAAACAGACCAATCATGGCTGAGGATAAATCCTAATGGTTTTCTCCCTTTTCAGGTTCAAGGCCCCTTTACACTTAGGAAAAAGGATCCTAAAGAGATTTTTCTTTATATGTGCTATGAGAGACTGGTATTCACTTTCTTAGAAATTGAAAGCTGTAAAATTCTTCAGCAGCCTTCCCATGTCTAGTTTGAAAATCAATAATGATGTTAAGGACCTCATAACATCTACACTTGCAATATTCAATTCCTTTTCCTTAAACTCTGGTCTCAAAATAAAGTGACCGTTTAAATGAACTTGACTATACTATCAGAAACTGTCCTGTTGCATGTGACACTCATAAGGCACATAATTAATGTCTGCAAAGCTGAGAGATTTTCTGGGAGGATCATGAACAGATTTCTCATTGGGAGCCTCAGAGGCCAGATGACATGGGTCAGTGTATTTGAAGTGTTGAAGGGAAAGAAGCTGTCAACCAAGAATCCTATGTGTGGCAAAACTGTCCTTCAAAAATGAGGGAGAAATTAAGACATGCCCAGTTTGTAAGAGTTGAGGGAGTTCTGCCTCAGCACGGAGTCCTTCATGTTGGAGTGCAGGATTTTTGACAGTAACTCAAAGCGTTATGAAGAGATAAAGATCTCCAGTAAAAATAGATAGATGGGTGACTAGAAAAGCTCATGCTACACTGCTGTAATTAAAACAGATAACCAGCAAGGTCCTACTACGTAGCACAGGGAACTCTGCTCAATGCTCTATGTCAGCCTGGATGGGAGGGGAGTTTGGGGAAGAATGGATACATGTATATGTATGGTTGAGTCCCTTTGCTGTGCCCCTGAAACTATCACAACATTGTTAATCAGCTATACTCCAGTATAAAATCAGAAGTTTAAAAAAATGAAAAGCTAGTACTATTGTAACTTTGGTTTGTAGCTCTACTTTTTGTTTTCAATTTGATTTGAGACTACTTTGTAATAAACATTCACACACAAAAATCATCATCTGTTTCTAATACTTTTTTTTTTTTACTTTGGGATAAAAATTCTGATTGGTCTCTAAAAATGAATGTATGTGCCTGACTTCAAGGATAGCATTTGGAAACTGCAGTGTCTTTGTCCTCCAATATGAAGGTAAACCAGGGTCAGGTCCCTTTGAATGCAGCAGCTCAGTAACAGAAGCTACAAGATAGACTGATGTGAGGCAATAGCAATGAGAGCAGGCTTCAGGAAAAGGAGCTGGGGACCACTATCAATAGATGCACAAAAGTCTCAGAACCTCCTATTCCAAATACCACCTCAAATAATATGGTAAAAAAGAAAATCTACACAAATTTTTAAAGTAATGTGTAGGACCCTGTATTAGTAGTAGTCTGTGTAGTGTTAGTCATTCAGCCATGTCTGACTGTTTGCAACCCCATGGACTGTAGCCTGCCAGGCTCCTCTATCCATGGGATTCTCCAGGCAAGAATACTGAAGTTGGTTACCATGCCCTCTGCCAGGGGATCTTCCCAACCCAGGGGATTGAACCCATGTCTCCTACATCTTTTACATCTCCTGCATTGGCAGGCACATTCTTTACCACTAGTGCCACCTGGGAAGCCCCAGTTGCCTTCAGAGCACCATAAAAGAAAAGCTCACACTGGATCCCTTAAACAGCAGAAATTAATTAATTAATTTAATTTTCTTCACAACTCTAGAGGCTAGAAGTCCAAAATCAAGGTGTTGTTAGAGCTGGTTTCGGTCATATTTCCTTTACTGACTTGTAGACATCCCTCTTCCAACATTGTTACTGTTGTTTAGTCGCAAGTTGTATCCAACTCTTTTGCAACCCCATGGACAGGACTGTAGCCCGCCATGATCCTCTGTCTCTTCCTCTTCTTATAAGGACACTTCCTATCGTATTAAGGCCCCACCATTTGGCAAGTTATGCTAGGGAGGCCAGAGGTCCCAAGTGGCAGGAGGAAATGAATGGCAAGCAGTAGACCTTTATTCCTACATTCCTTTGCTCTGGCTTTAGTCATGTGAGTAGGAGGCTCCTTTTAATCCTGTATTGCTATGATGACAATGGTACCTGTTTCCCAAAGCTTGAGCTGCTAATTGCCCAAAGAAACAATATATCTTATTCATGAAAAAGTTTTCCTTAAACTATGTTAATGAAACTATGTGTTTGTTTGGAGGTCTGTTTTCCTTCAAGACTTACATCAATTGTTTTGCGGATACAATATATCTCACCCAGAGACATCTAGTCTGGAGAGGACCCCCTTGTGCAGATATGTATGCTATGGGAGAGAAACCTGGTGCAACTCTCTCAACCTTGAAGTGTTTCTTCTATGATCTTGCTAACAGGTAATAAGATGCTTTGCTAAAAACTGGCAAGGGGCTATCTTTTCTGCCCCCTTCTGCTGTCTATTGTCAGAAGTTTTGTCTATCCTTTTTGTGCTTTAATAAAACTTTGCTACACAAAAGCTCCGAGTGATCAAGCCTCATCTCTGGCCCCAGATTGAAATACTCTCATCTGGAGGCCAAGAATTCTGGTGTCGTTCTTGGCTCACAACCACAACCTTTCATCTTGGGGGCTCTCCCAGGATGTTCAGGACATGGTAAAGACATTCAGAGCTCTAGTTCTTTGGTTCTCCTAGTAAACACGTTTTGTACTTTACTAACACAGTGTGCCTGTCTGTGTGAATGCTATATGGAAGAGATGCACAAACAAGTGTGAAGCAAGAGTTGAGACTCGCTTTGTGGTTCCATGGAGCCTCGTAATGACTGAAGGTAGCCCCAAAACAAGCCAGTCAGGGGTTTATACTGACCTGCCAATGCCAAGAGCCATCTGACGTCCCTGCGAGGGGAGCAGCCAGAAATGGGTGAAACGCGTGGACTGGACTTTTCTTTCTCAGTCAACTTTTCCTGGCCTCTTTGACCATTTTGTAACTGCCTGGGAAATTGAAACTACTAACCTAATCTAATAATAGACTTTCAAGGGACTTGTGATCCATGCTGTTACTGTGTACTTTGGCTTAGACCCCAAGTTTGGATTGATAGTCATGAAGCACCTAGCCTTTCTAGGAGCCGAAAGTTACCTTGGTTGTATTCTCATGCACTGCAGACAGGAGCACAGTTTGGAGCTAGGTGGAGCTCTAGCTCCACAAACGTCTCTCAGGCTAGAGGTTGCTCTCTGAGTTGCCTGCCTCAGGGGCCAGCAACCTGAAAGTGAGTGCTTGTCACAGCTGTGCCTCCAGTCTACATGGATTAGAGGCACTGCTGGCGATCATGAGGTTTCCGAGGACACAGCATGGAAATTCTAGGATCTGGTCAGACTGGAAGTGCAATGGGCTTCTTCCTTTGGTAACACTAGCTCTTAGCGGACTAGAGGAGGCTCCCCAGTGACTTTTGTCTCAACTTCTTAGATGTTCTTCCTGTGGAATCTGTGGAAATGAGCTGAAAGGATTGGCCCTAATAGCTAGAAGACAAAAATCACTTTTTCCTCTCTGGCTGGCCCTTCACCACCTCTTTCACTATGCCGTATACTGGTGTCGTGACACTCTGAAGGGACATTTTGGGTTTTATGTTTGTCCCTTTATGGTTTAACAGTTTTATTGTGATCAGGAATATATTCAGGACTGTGCATAAGGCACCCAGGAGACGAATGTTTCCTCTAGTTGTCTTAGCTTGGGAGGCATTCTGGAAGTGAGAGGGTAACAGGCAGAAGACCAGGGGTCTCCAAACAGAGGAAATAGGCTGCAAGTGCCAGACATTTTTATCTCTCTTAAGCGGCAGGAGGAAACAAACCAGCGATATGTTTTTCCTTCTCTATACAAATGTAAAAGGAGGTTTCTCTTAAAATGCTGTGTTGCCATGACACCTGGTCTCACCTGAAGCTAACTACTCTCAAACCTTGAGTTAACCAATACATTTCTTCTTCTTATGGAAATGTTGTCTTAAGCTATGTTAATATACCCCAGACT